ATACAGGTGGAGTTTTCAGAGTGAGGAGGAACAGGTTGCTATACTCAGGATTTCAGAGCACAAGCTTACTGAAAACAGAAAGGCAGGAGTCTTGTTGTCTTCAAGTACCTACTTTACAACTGCACTCAATGTACACAGCCAAAAATGACACCATTTACTATTATAGAATACAGTTCCTTAATTGTGGAATTACATATTTAATGGGAAAAGTGGGGGAAATGGTGTGTGAGTTTTGTTGTCTCAGAGTATCTTTAATTAAAGCTTGAACAGAAATGCTTCTCCTTTGAAGTAGTCTATGTTCACATGATATTCTCGGCAAGCTATTAGTAATTCTTGCCAGTATGGAAATAGTACTCCTGAAATGGGAGAAGATTAAACCAACAATAGTAGCCTCGGTAATGTGAGCAGATTTGATAATCACTAATACTTGCAATGCATTTGGTTTTTGTAAGTTACATTGAAGACTGGTGCATGGAAAGAAAAGAGGTGACAATTACTTTGCAATAGTGGCTGGTAGTTGCAGCTTTTTTGGCAGAGGTCTCTTAAGATCCTAATAAAGTGATACTTTGGAGGCTTTTAATGCAAGTTCTATATTCGTTTTCATGCGAATCACTGAGCATGTATGCTCTATAAATGAGAATAAGACAAATGCTAGTCTTCTGTTACAACTGTATTTGTAAATCAAAATTGTAAACTGTCTAAAATGCCAAAACCCAAAAAATTATTTTAGAAACAAACAGTCATGGTGCTTCCAGAAGCAAGTCCTCGTGTTTAAGTTCAGCAGCATTCAATATATTATGCACCTCTGGTGTTGGCTTCCTATAGCCGGAAAAGTATATCTTCTAATATACGTACTGAAACTTCTATTATACATAACTCAAAATTCTGTCATCTATTTAATGTTGACAGGCTATTACAAATTATGATTTACTCAAGAACATTAACCATGCAGTTCAGTGGGTACCTGTAGATGATTTATTAATGTGTGGGAGTAGTTTGTATTTGCGTAGTTTCTTAGAGCTTAAATTATAGAACAAGAAAACTTGTGGTGACGTTCAGTGTCAGAGGTGGTGAGAGAAATTCTGTAGCGTGCAGTTTCTGCTTGCACAGGGGTCTTCTATCTGAGCGCTTGTGAGTAGATGTGCAGTGACTAAGTGCTTGGACCTGCAGCTAGTGTAAAGGGGCACTGTTGGCCTCGGTTGGACTGTGCCGATTTACAACAGCTAAGGAAGTAACATAAGTATTTGTATTCTTCCCTATTTCTTAGAAAAACTAGAAGATAGAAAAAAGCTGTGACTGGACAATAAGCAGCCAAATTTATGTAAGACCTAATCTTCCACTCTGCTTTTTGTTTATGCTGATGTGACTTAGCTGAAATCAGTATAGATTTGCAGTAGAGTAGAGGTCAAGCTTATAGCTTGCTTTAGAGGGCATCCACAAAGTATATAACCACATCTGCTACGTTTAGTAACGGAGTGTTCTTGAATGTGGCTTTTCTTTGAGAATTGCAGACTTTCTCTCTTTGAGAATGAATAATAAAACCAAACATCTTGGACTGGGCTAAATATATCTTAGCATTAGGAAGGGGTGAGATTTCCTGATTTAAAGACTGTTTTCTCTGAAACAGTTTGTTTAAAAGTTGATTTTGTGGCCTTTGGTTTTTGTATGGATAAATTGTGACTGGTTCACTTTCTGTAAGTTCAGGATGTGCAATAAGATGACTGGCCTTATCACTAGATATTTCATGAAGTCATTGTTTTTGAGTGCCTACTTCCCTTTATTGTAGATTCTAGGCACTCTTAATTGTTACCTTCCTGTACTTACTATGAAGGAGAGAACCTGAAGTTCCTCAGATTCTGTTATACCTTTTCAAGGGCAGTATCTGTTTTCTGTATGCATGAAACTTTGGCTGAAGCTGTGAGAATCCATTCTTTAACCCATTAAGGGGATCTGTCCTCTTGTGCAGCTGTATTTCCCCTAGTATCAGAAATTTTTAAAATGGGAAGAAAAGAGGAGACCAAGTAAGACCACCTCCATGCTCACCTCTCTCCTCCCCACCCCCCTCCAAATAAAAGCCTAAAAAGAAACTCATCTGCCATCACTGCAGTAGCTTTTTTCAGTCTTAGAGTACTGAAGGATGAAATGGAAATGCAAACTTTCCCGTCTTGTTCATTAAGAGTAAAATGTAGAACTTGAAGAGAAATATATGCAAAACATAACCCTAGAGCTTTGGATCAATTCCATCTAATCACAAACTGTGCCCCAATTTTGTCTTGGAGTGAGTGTTTTAGGTAAGGTATGAGGCAGGGTTGAAGTGATCCTTTTGTCGGTATTTCCCCTGAGCTGCCAACTGCCAGTAGCTTAGGAGTTTCTCATAGGAAATGCAACACCTAGACAGTCATTTTTAATAGCCACTGATGGTTCTGTTTTCAAATATATACTTTCTTCAAAGTTCCACAGTTTAATTGCATGAAATTACGAGTAAAAGCTTTTGTTTTATTTTATAGGCACCAAATTTAGAACTAATAATTATTCTCTGCTTAGCTTTTGCCTGCTTTTCTTGTTTTTACAGGTCAGTGGTCTCTCTCCAAACTAAATTTTTGTCCATTTAATCTCTTTACGTGGAATATACTTCATACTGTACCATTGTTCTGTTTCTAGTTCTACTGGATGAAATCTTCCGATGAGTTTATGAAGTGATATAGTGTTTGTTTTTCTTGATTTTATTTTTATAGTACGATTTTTATAGCAATTCCTAACAATCATTTGCTTTGTAACCTCCCTTGAATACTGCAGACTTAATCACAGTGACTCGCTGATCTTTTCTTAAGTAACAGCAACTAACACAGAAGCTTTCATTGCATGCCACAGTATATGGAACTAAAACCTGTAGTTCTTCAGGTTATTATCTAAATCCCTTCCAAAAGTGTGTAATCACCATTCCATTTCTCAGATGGTATATCAGAGGTAAGTAGTTTAAGCTTGTGTGACAACTTGTTTTATTATCAAAGTGTAAAGAGAATAAGAAAACCAGTATATAGCAGGAGAGGGTGCACACGTGATGTTTTGTGTTGGTAAATGGAGTATTCGTTGTTTACTCAGTGTTGTAAGGAAAGTTAGTGTTCTTAATATCAGTGAAAATAGCTGATGTTTTCATGTTTTATCTTATTTTGCATTAGTATACACAACAGTTTAATATGTTTGGTTGTACAGTATACTTCTGCAAATGTTCAAAAACTTATTACAGTGACAGAAGATGGAAGTGGTGTTCTCCTGTCTATGTTCTAAAATCTTATCTTTAGTGAAGCCACGTTGTTTGGTTTTTCAGTATGATTAATGGATCAAATTTGGCCATTTTCAAAGCAAACTAAGAACGCATGCATTTTCCTACTTTTTTCTCTTTATAATTCAGAATGAGTGTTGACAGGTATTGTTTCATGATAATAGCATTGGATTACCATGTGACATAAATCATTCTTGCAAAAAATTATCTGCTGTACTGCCTTAATTGTATTTCCTTGAAGTGTTTGTGCTGAGATAGCCATTACTTTGCATTTTTCTGTAAAGCAGTGAGAAGGCGTTCCTCAGTAAGATACAGTCATGACACTGAAAACCAGAGTGCGAAACAAATGAGCTTGGCAAACGCATAAAAACCAAACGTCCCTTCCCCAAGCGCTTCATGAGTTAAATGAGATTGCTGTGATATACCAGAAATATCAAATTCAAAATAATACACCACCAGTGGAAGCAGTGTACAGGAACTTCAACAAAGTATGAACATAAGGAGGAATTTGAAGCATGTGGTGCCGAAGAGGTGGAAGTTACTGTAAATAAGGGGTATAGAACAGAAGTGTTTAGGAAGGAAAAACACAAAGCTTTTATCCTCACTGTAGAGGAGTCTGGCAAAGCTCTTGTTCTGTGTAGTGTGGTGGTTTCTTCAAGGTAGCTAGTGCTACCCAGGGATGAAAACATGCTTGAAAGCGAGCTCTAGTGTTGCTGTATCTGTATTTAAACTGAGGTGCTTTTTAGCCAAAGGTATAGTGTTGAATGGAGTTGCATGGAAAATTGTTATCTTGTTTAACAGGTGTTCTTTTGATGTTTGAGAAAATCTTCCAAACTTTTGAAGCAAATCAAAACTTGATTATCAGTCTCAAATTTCTGAGTGGAAAGACCAGGTTAAGATAATTTTATTCCCTTTTGTTTTGAAGCACTTAGCTTGTTGCTCTTCTGAGACCATTTACTGTAAGCTAACATTTCTAAACAAAATCTCAAACTAGTCTAAAAATATTTCATTTTGGAAAAAAATCAAAACAGAACCTTTCAACAAAACAGTAATTTCCTACGCGATGTTTTTTGGATGACTAATTCTGATATTGTTTACAAAACTCTGCAATGCCCCTTTTGAATTATCTTAATGTTCATTATTGTTAATATTAGAAACAAGCATCCATTCTTTGAGCAGCAGAGGTGATGATAAAAAAAGAGGGGTCTGAGAAAGAGGAGGCTTCAAGAGGGTAAAATGGAATGAGATGAAATTATAGCTGAAAGGCCAGAAAGAAGGGACATATTCACTGCCAGTAGCTCTGAGAAGAAAGGGCTTGATTTAGGAACAGCTGTACTCATTGCTGCACAACTGTCTGAGACCAGAGTCTTCAGAAATGAGGATAAGATGTCAGGAGAACGAGACAGTGAGGTTAGAAAAAAGATTATAGCAGTGAAACAAATGATGAAAGGGAGAATTCTAGCAAGAGTGTAGAGTAGGAAGAAGCAACCGGACTTAGGTGTCAGAGTTAATATAGGTCACTTGTCAGTTGCTTAGAAATAGCTCAGTTCACTTTTAATTACTTGAAAAAATTCATCTATTGTAATCAAAAATTTTCTTTCAAAGCAAATTGTGATTACTACGTATTATACTTATCCATGGGTTTTCAGAATTACTTTGTTTTGATTAGATCACTAGATAAGAAATGATCTCCTGGTTTCATTTTATTTAAATGTAGGAGAGAACATCTTACTGAAGATGTTACTGATCTTCAGGCGTAGAATTTACATCCCTGCAGACCAGTTTTAAGGTAATTGTTTTACAAAGGTTTTTTTTTATTTAAATTCCACTCTTTTTTAAGGTTTGTGTCTTGTATGCTGCTTGGTTAAGCAGCACCCGTGACTGGCCTAAGAAATGAAGAGAAAGCAATTGTGTTTTCAGTTCGTTAACTTGATGAATTTGACAGCACTGCATGGATAGTCTTGTTTCATGACTTTATAAAACTTCAGAACTAAGTAACAATTTCTTTACTGGAGGAAAGAAATTATTTCTTAAGGTAGGTATATTGTGTTTTTAAACCTTTTCTTTTTCCTCCAGAAAAGTATAGGTGAATATCAATAACTAAGTCCCTTTAAAGTCATCGGATTTGATTTCATGTTGGTCCTTTATTGGTATGATCCTTTAGAAGAGAAGCTTACTTCTCTATCTGCTATGCAGATCTGTCTTACTGTTGCATGTGTGTATATGTTGATATGTAAATACTGTTTGCAGATGTATAAGCAGAATCGAGTGACTTTCAAATACCTAAGTTGCTCTTAACTTTGCTATTAAAGAGATTATAAATATAAAATTATAAGAACAAAAAAGATCTAGAACTTACTGAAATTCACAGCGTATGCTATTGATTATCAGCCAAAGAACTTAAGTAATCTGCAATTTAGGACTGCTGTGTTCATTGCATCAGAAAACTTACCCCGGATGGGGATATAGCCCTGACCCACAGATCTGCCATGCACTTGGTAGCTGCCTTTGTGTTGTACGATTGTTTTGTGCTTAAAAAACAAACAAAAAAAAAACAAAAAACAAAAAACCTCTGCACTTCAGGCTATTTCTTTATTTGTCCAAATAAGGTTTTATGGCTTATTTTAAGCAGCTAGATTTATTGAAAAAAGCTAGAATTTATTCCATTAGTAATTCATATATAATGTAAAGAAAGCTTTTTTAAAAAAAGAGTTCTCCAACTTTGATTCATACATAGTGAAATTTATTCGTTTTCCTTTTTTCAAGCTATTTGATTAGCTTTTCAGAGGGAAAATTACTGTAATTTGTTATGCCACTTAACATCCAATATATTAATAACATATACTGTCATGTACCTTAATGATATTTTTTTTTTTCCTCAACATTCACAAAGAAAAACTATGTGGCGGTATGTTTTGTATTTGTGTGCACTCACATGAGGTATAGTTAAAGCCTATCTTCTTGTCAGGTGAGTTGGGGTTGGCATACGGTTGAAAACAGTTGTGCCCTAAGCAGTAGTAGAATTTAATGAGCAAAAAAGTGGCTTTTAAAATGACACATTGCGCTGTATGGTAGGTGGTTGTAGTTATAAAGCTGTAATTGTGTGGGAACTGAGAACATCTGCTAAGGGATTGGCACTTACTGTAGTCAATTTAAAAAAAAAAAAAACACTAAATGCCGTAAAATAGCTTTAAAACATTACGTATACCAAGTTAATTATTAAAGTTATGTCCTCACGTTACACCCAGTAAACTAGGGGGTTAACTCATGCAGGAAAATGTTCTGTGACACTCCCATATGTTATCTATCCCCTTTTTGTTATTCATACTGCACTTGATGAGGTTGAATAGCCAGTATTATAGCAAGGCATGTAACTGATCTACACGTTTTCATGAAACAGATAACCATCTCATTTGCTAGCACTCCCTGAACTAGTTGAGTGACTTTACATGCAGAACAATGAAGCCCTGAATAGTGTTTGTGGCGGTATTAGAACAACTACTGCAGGTACATTTAAACTAATGTGATAACCTTGAAATAGCATTTCATTTGGGACTTGTCCTAAACCCATTTAGTCAACTGAGGATTTTTATTGGCCTCACAACCCCTGGAGACATACCCTTGGCAGAAGTTCACAGAATCGTTTAGGTTGGAAGGGACCTCTGGAGATCATCTAGTCCAACCTCCCTGCTCAACCAGGGTCACCTAGAGCAGATTGCCTAGGATCACATCCAGACGGGTTTTGAATATCTCCAGCGAAGGAGACTCCACTACCTCTCTGGGCAACCTGCTCCAATGCTCTGTCACCCTCACAGTGAAGAAGTTTTTTCTCAGGTTCAGATGGAACTTCCTGTGGTTCAGTTTCTGCCCGTTGCCTCTTGTCCTGTTGCTGGGCACCACGGAGAAGAGACTGGCCTCATCCTCTTGACACTCCCCCTTCAGATACTTGTACACGTTGATGAGATCACCTCTCAATCTTCTCTTCTCCAGGCTGAACAGGCCCAGCTCTTGCAGTCTTTCTTCATAGGAGAG